GATGTTGGACCCTGACTCCTCAGAGATGTTGGACCCTGACTCCTCAGAGATGTTGGACCCTGACTCCTCAGAGATGTTGGACCCTGACTCCTCAGAGATGTTGGACCCTGACTCCTCAGAGAACATCTAAAACGTCCTGGAGGAGTTTGAAGCTCATAAATTCATCAGCTCCCCTGAAGGGTGCGCAGCGTCTCGACTTGTTGGGACTCTGATAAAAACAGTGTTTTTTCAGAGCAGCAGCTTCTTTGTTCTGCCCCGCCCAGCCACACCTGTTCCCTGTTGTCATTAGACCACACCTGTCTCCTGCACAAGCATCAGTCCTGGTCCAGACAGTCTCTACAGAGGTGTAGTTTTCTCCTGTTTCATATCATGTAATAAATATGAAACCTTGGAGCTCTTCCTGTTGGTCTACATTCCTGGGTGGGGCTCTAAAAACACGTGACAGGAGCGGAGCAGGAGCCGACCACTTCAAACTTTACAAACCTCAAACTGTCTCCAGGAAGTAAAACTGGTGCCAACCAGGTGTTGGACAACTTGGGACATGTTTGGAGGGAAAATGGGACAGAATAACACCTGAACTCTTCATCACTCTGTATCCTCATCATCATCAGAGCATGATACATGATGGCAGGAGGCTGGAGGATCTAAAAGACTGAGAAACTTTACAGGAACAAGTTAGACTGCAACGAGATGAAGACTGGAACAGACAAGAGTCTGGTTTAGAGTGTGTGTTTTAGAGTCTGGTTTAGAGTGTGTGTTTTAGAGTGTTTTAGAGTCTGGTTTAGAGTGTGTGTTTTAGAGTCTGGTTTAGAGTGTGTGTTTTAGAGTGTTTTAGAGTCTGGTTTAGAGTGTGTGTTTTAGAGTCTGGTTTAGTGTATTTGTTTTAGAGTGATTTAGAGTCTGGTTTAGAGAGTGTGTTTTAGAGTGATTTAGAGTCTGGTTTAGAGTGTGTTTTAGAGTGATTTAGAGTCTGGTTTAGAGTGTGTTTTAGAGTGAGTGTTTTAGAGTCTGGTTTAGAGTGTGTGTTTTAGAGTCTGGTTTAGAGTGTGTGTTTTAGAGTGATTTAGAGTCTGGTTTAGAGAGTGTGTTTTAGAGTGATTTAGAGTCTGGTTTAGAGTGTGTTTTAGAGTGATTTAGAGTCTGGTTTAGAGTGTGTTTTAGAGTGTGTGTTTTAGAGTCTGGTTTAGAGTGTGTGTTTTAGAGTCTGGTTTAGAGTGTGTGTGTTTTAGAGTCTGGTTTAGAGTGTGTGTTTTAGTATCTGGTTTAGAGTGTGTGTGTTTTAGAGTCTGGTTTAGAGTGTGTGTTTTAGTGTCTGGTTTAAAGTGTATTTTAGAATCTGGTTTAGAGTGTATTTTAGAGTGTTTTAGAGTCTGGTTTAGAGTGTATTTTAGAGTGTTTTAGAGTCTGGTTTAGAGTGTGTGTTTTAGAGTCTGGTTTAGAGTGTATTTTAGAGTGTTTTAGAGTCTGGTTTAGAGTGTGTGTTTTAGTGTCTGGTTTAGAGTGTGCGTTTTAGAGTGTTTTAGAGTCTGGTTTAGAGTGTATTTTAGAGTGTTTTAGAGTCTGGTTTAGAGTGTGTGTTTTAGAGTCTGGTTTAGAGTGTGCGTTTT